TTTCTGAGGACCTGTCTCATAAACCTTACCCTCACACCAACCCTTTCCATCTCTCTGTGTGACTTTGTACTCCTACTGCTGATTCTTCCAAAATTGCAGCTTCTCAGGCACATCTTTACTGCAGTCCTCTTAGATTCACAACTAAGACTTAGACCACACCTCTCCTGCATCTCTATTGTTTCCTGTTGACTGTCCTCATTGTAGGTTCCTATCTGTCTACCCTATCTTATTCCTGAGGTCAGTCAGTATCCCTCCTGGTACTTACTTCCTTCTTACCTATCCTGATCCCTTCACCCTCCAAACTTCTTAAAGAGTAATCTTAGTCATTTCTGTTTTATCTCCCATTATCCTGCCAACATCCTAGAAGCTCTTAGCTCTCTGCTGACACTACTTCAGAATCCCTGGCAGTTCCTTTTCCATTTAAAACAGTGTCCTCTTCCAAATCTACATTCCAGATCATCTTCTGACATCCTCCTTTTAAAAAACAAATTTGTAGTTCCTTGATTTTATAATTTTCTTCTCATGATTATTTTCCTCTTTGTAACCCCCCCCCTTTTCTTTTTACTTCTCTTCCTCTTCTTTCCTCACAAAATGTGGGTGTCCCTGTGGCTCATCTCTTTTCCCTCCCTCTGCTTACTTCTGCTGCTGCTGTCCTTCAACCTCTTGGCTTAAATAATAACCTGTTAGATATGCTGAAGATCTCTCCCCAGACCCTCATTTTCTATTTCCCAATAGACATTTCCAGAGGGATAACATCCAAGTATTTTAAAACCTAAAGCAATTATACTTTATCATCCAAACTGGATCCCAACTGGGTCACTTAGAAGGTTAAAGAAGGTGCTATTGATAATTAGCCAGTGTAAATCTGGAGCATATGGTCACCTGTTCAAACCTAATGTACAGAATACTCTTGAGATTTGCTCTTCTAGTACTATTCATCATTAAATGCCTCAACAACATTCTGCTTACCTGGGCTAACAATCATCATCTTCAATTCTTATTCTTTGCTTGGTTCCCAGTTCCTGTGAATTCTAACTTTCCTGTATCTTTGAATTACACTTAAAACAAAAACAAAAACAAAAAAAAACCAACCCATTCCACTGTTTAGGCCCTTGTTTCCTCTTACCTGCAATACTTGTATGTCCTAACTTGTCTTCTTGTGCTGTTTCTCCTCATTCATCCTTCATTCGATAGTCTTTATATCTATCCCCAAAGTGTACTGATTATTGATACACCTACTCAGAAACTGTCACCAAAGCATATCATCCAGACTTCTCAGCTAGGGATCCAACACACTACATAGTCTGATGTAAAAGAACTTTTCCAGCCTTACCTCCTTTCTGGACCTTGTATTTCAGCAGGCCTGTTGGCCTTTCCCCAGATAACTCCAAAATCAGTAGTCCCTAGTTGCATCAGAATCACCTTTGGAATTAAAGAAAAATTTAAATACCCAACTTCAATCTGGGAGATTTGAATTTAGTAGGTCTGTATTTAAGCCTGGTTATCTTTGTAAAAGCCTCCCCAAGTGATTGTGACCAAAGCCAGCACTGAGAAACATTGCCCTTGTTTCCCTATCTCTATGACTTTGTTCACCATTTTTCTCCATGGCCAATATCTAGTTTTCTTGTTTTCTTTTTAAATATTTTCTTATCCTTCAATACCTGGACTTCATTTTACCTCCTTCATGAGGTTTTCTTTGACCCATCCAAAGAGATCTAGTTATATCTTCTATACCGCAGTTGTAGTAAACTTTCATTAGATTTTATGTTTATGCCTTACATCCCATAGACAGTATACTTCTTGGATGCAAATGCTTCTGCTATTTATAATGTGGAAGCCATTCTATATAGGTCGTTGGCTGTTGAGATTATATGTAGAGATCTTTGAAGTTCTTAAGAAAGTGATTGATAAGCATGAGTTATTTTTGCTAATTTAACCAAAAGTCCAAAAGCATAAAATACAAGTTTTAATTCTAAGACTACGCTAAATTAAGATTTGCTAATCATGCTAAGTAGGAGAAAGGAATTAGAATTTTAAAAATCACTACTGTTTTCAGCAACAGATGAGCTAATATTAAAGTAAATTCAGTGGTGGGTTGGTTCCTTTCACATTCGTGCTTCAGGTGCTTTAAAGCATGTGGGTCTCTTTGGATTCCTTAGGAAAACTGTCATGTAGGCATGCAGCTATAAAATGTGCTTCACTCAGAAACTTGTAGTTAGTAAAGCAGAGTTTTTTTGTTTGTTTTGTTTTTTTTACTAGTTCTTTTGAAGGCACAGGGGAATACTTTTAATAAATCGGCCTTGCTGAAAGATAGAATACAGTGTTGTTTTTAATAGGGAATGAGAGCATAAGTGCAGTGATTTAATGTAGTTACAAAAGGCTGCTTCCAAAAACAATTTTTGATTTTTGTCAAACATTCAGCAAAAGAACGATTTTTCCCTCAAAACAAATTTTTTTTTTGTCACTTCCCAAATTGTATTCTTGTTAAATCTGTAAGTTGTATATTCAGGATGGGATTTTTCTTTGTACTACAATTTTCTCTGTGCCTGATCAGTAAAAATTGTAACCATATAGTTTGATATATATATGCAGATGGATTTTATAATTAATTTAATGCCCTTTAAGGTAGATATTTGTATTTAATTATTTTATTGAAAGAATATATATTTGGATTTCATAGCAAGCCTAGAGAAATAATAAACTTTTACTGTTAGTGCTGTCTCTATTTGCTGATATAGAACCGATTTCTGATTTATCCCAGGTAAAATAATTAAAATGCATGTATTAGAACATACATAAAATTTTCTGTACTCATGCAAGATGTACTAACTGGAAAATAGTCGATATAATCTCTTGGCTTTTGACTTTTTATAAACTCACAGGTTTATAGTGAATTTATGGAACCATGTAGCTGTTTCCCTGATTTGTGGCAGCACTGTAGCTGAACTTCTCAAAACCTCTAGAAGCAAAAGTCAAACTTCCTTCACAAAATGTTCCTTATATTTACTGTTAATCACACGAATCTTTGCCAAGTTATTCCTAGAAAATAGGCATTCTTCATAATAGGAACTCAAAAGAGAAGGTATTGGGAAACTTATGAAGATGGCAAATGAATAATGAATGAGTTTTCGCAGGCAGCTGGAGATACTTGTTAGTAGACCAGTAGAAACAGAAATTATCTGCCAAACCTCTGGAAACACATGGCAAACTTTTCTTGACCATAATAGTGGTAACGTATATTCAATTGAACATTGTGCAGTCTCCATACATATTATTTAGGCCTCACAACAACCCTGTGAAGTGGGCTGAACTAATAGCCCCCATTTTACAGACAAGGAAACTAAGCTAAGAAGAAAAAGTGGTTTGTTTTTGAGTACATACTTAACCAAGGATATGTACTCAGTTTGGATCTGAGATTCCAAATCCTCTAATGCCAACTCATACTACCAAAAATCTATTTTAAAAAATATTAGTTTTTCAAAGACCACCATAAAAAATATCAGTCAGGACAATGGCAGCAGTGTAAAAAAGACAGAAAGATGACCACACCACTTCTGAGGTTTTCTGTCTTTGGAATAAATAAGCAAAACAATAGTATCCTAAAAGACTGCTAGGAAATTAGTTTGTACATGAAACACTGAACTCTTTCAAGTATAATGATACACAAGCTCAAGATACTGCTACTTTTATTTGTAGCCAACGTTTATTTTTATGCCTAGAAAAATACATGGGGGTGCTTAGGAATCATGTGCTGGGCAATTTGCTACTTCAGTGATAGTAACATAATCCCGAAAAAGCAAGCACGATTATTTTGTACTTTTTCTTCTTGTTTTATTCAGCAATATGACCATAATTTTTCATATTTAAGGAAGTATGAAAAATTTGTCGAGTTTTAAAAGCTGAATACATGTAGCGTTGGATCAAGGCACATACAAGACTGGCCAAAGGGCGTACAATGCACTTTGGTTTTTTGTTGGGAAAAAAAAAATGGCAACAGAAAAATGATGTGGTTTTTAAACAAGTAATAGCTCACAATTCTGTAGGAAGCTAGAAAGAAATGTTACATTACAAGTTCATTATGTGATACGTGGAAAACTGTGACAGTAATGGGCAGTATTCTTGGTCATTGTGAAAGTAAATTGAACTTTTTTATGTACAGTGTTAAAACATTTCACATAAACCAGATCTAAATTTGATTTCTAGTATTCATTTTTCTTTTAAATTCTTTCTTATTTAAAGTACTACTTTCTCTGCATTGTTGAGGGGAATTGCTTATGGTTATACTATCTTTTTAAATACATGTGTTTCTTTTTTGACATCGTTTATGATAAAAACATAAACATTAACAATTATGTCTTTAGAATTCACTTTTCAAAAATTGGGATGGTATAGGCAAAACCAAAATGCAATTCTGGTATTTGTGTTCATTATACTATGGAGTCTAAGTTTTCATGTTTTCCTAAGTACAAATTTCCCCCCTAACGTAGAAGCATGCTCACATTATTGATTTGTGAAGTCCTTCATTCTCAAAACTTTGTTAACAGTGCTTTTAACAACAGACTTCATACTCCTTTATGCCAGCTGATGTATTCAGTTCGAAAGATAATGCTTTCTTAAGGATATCTACTTTGCTTAGAGTAGAAATGGAGATATGCAGCAAGTTTGATATTGCCCATTACTTCACATATTTTAATTTACTGAATACCACTGGGATAATACAAATTTAATAGTTGGAGCATCATTTCATAACTATTTTTTGAACTTTAATTTTTCTCATTCAGCCAGTTTTTTTTTACATTTTATTAATACCAAAGTGAAAAATGGCCTGTGCTTATACTACAAGGATCTCATGTGAACTCAGTCCTGATTGTTCAACACAGCAAGGAAATCACTTTCACAGTCAACAAGTCATCTTACTCAGTAGAACACAAAGTAAATGGTTTATAACTTCAATATTTGCAAGGAAAATACAGTACAAATTACTAAAAAATACTAAAATATAGAATTGTGTTCAGGCATCTCCACTACATCAATCGCAGCAGTAACCTGAAATTTGAAACTTTTAATAAAAAGTTCTTAAATATAAATTATATGGCAAATGTACAGTACATTGCTTTTTCCAGTCTCTTTTTTCCAGTGTTTTGCAGTAGAACAGGGTTCCTACCATCACTTCCCTTAGGTTTAAAAAAACTGAAACACAGTCTGCTACAAGGCCTCCAGCATCATGAGTGCGAGTGATCTGAGTCTGGAATACCACTGTCTCTGTAGCTTCGGTTACTACTGCTTTCACTGTGATTGTTTTTATACAGATTCATTCCATTAGGAGGAAATATGGTGTGTATTACAAATTCCTCCTTTGAGATTGGCTCATTGCTTATTGGTAACATCTGAAAAGAAGTCTCCCTGATTTCCAGGATGGAGTTGTCCTTCTTAGTGCCAGCTTCCGCATAGTCATCCTTTCTTCTTCTCCCTTTGCTGTATGCACAGTTCCTTGAGAAGAGTGATCCATTCCTATGAACATACCAGCACACTAAAGCAAGAAGGGCAATGGTCACCAGGGCCACAGCCCCACCAATGATGGCAGCCAATGGTAAATTGGGGTTTTTGTAAGGTTCTTTCTCTTGCTCTCTATTAAGGGTGGTTGTAGGGTTGTACATTCGAAGGGGTGCAGTTTCAGTCTCAATACAAACACGGGTGTCATCAAATAGGTAGAGGTTACTGGTTTCCATGGGAACCATGCAGACTCGATAGGGCGAATCAGGCTCTAGGGCTGTGACCAAGTATTCATTACGTTCTCCTGTTACAATTGTTTCTGTTATAGATCCAGATGCTGGGCTATGGCCCAGTTTGAGCCAGCTGAGTCTTAAAGCAGTCATAGGTAGGACAAGTTTCCAAGAGATGTGAATTGTGTCAGAGGTGACAGATTTCACAGTAATTATAATTGTTTTTCTTGCTGGACTCCCTGTGGTTCGCTGATCTTTAGTGAGCTTAGGATTCTTGATGTCTGGTTGTTTGGTCACTGGAGCTGGCCACTGTCCTTGAGCAGGATATACCGTGTTGGGTATTGCAGTGGTTATCTGAATGGTGCTTACAACTGCACTGTCCTTACAATCAAATAGCTCTGCATTAAGGTCCTTAATCGCCATCCCCCGAACTTTTTCAGGGGCTTGGCACATAAGCCCACGCACATTGACCTTCATAGGTAGTGATTGCAACCAGTCACGTACCCATTTCATCTTGCACCCACAATACCAGGGATTGTTGCGAAGAATCAGTTGGGTTATATTGTCCAAATCATCAAAGATACCCTGAGGTAAATTACTTAGGTTGTTATTGGACATATCAAGTCGATACAGCTGCCTTAGATAAGAAAAAGCATTTGGGGGCACCCGATTGATGTGGTTATCTTGAAGATAAAGCTTCCTCAGGTTTGTGCCTGGAAGGTTTACTGGTGCAGCAGTCAGGGAATTCCGTACCAGGGACAGTTCTGTTAAGTTGACTAGGTTGAAAAAAACTTTATCACCTAAACCATGGTTGTTCAATAGATTTCCATCCAAAACCAGGCGTTTTAGGCTAGTGAGACCTTGAAGAGATGGGGATGAAATAGTGGATATGCGGTTATCATCCAAGCGTAGTTCTTCTATAGTCCTAGGCAAACCCCAGGGGATTGTGCTAAGGTGATTACGGGACAGGAAAAGCAGTCGAAGATAGTTGCTGTCTCGGAATGCCCCCTCTTCAATGCTAACAGCAGAGACTGAATTATCATCTAAGTGTAATTCTTCCAGGTAGGGAATTTTGGAAAGAGAATCATAAGTGATAGTCCTTATGTTATTTTCTTGCAAATGTAACTCTTTTACATACTTTGGTAGGTTGGTAGGAAATTCATCTAAACTGTTGTGGTATAGGTATATTCTTTCTACTTTTAGTAAGTTTTTCAAATCTGAAGGAATTCCAGCGTTATTGATTTGGTTGTTCTGAAGGTAGAGAGTTGTAGCATCCTCTGGTATTCCTGCTGGAATGGATGTCAGAAAGCGATCATTACAGTAAATGAAACCTGCATCACAGCGGCACACAGATGGGCAGGATTTAGCCATAACTGATTGAGGTGCCACCTGAAGGAACAGCCCAATTTTAGTCCCGATGAGGAAAATGCTCCAGGCTGGGTTGATCATGGTCAGCAGTGTTAAGGTCTTTGTACACGGTAGTGTCAGAGCCCTAAAATGGAATGAGTGAAAAGAAAGACCAAAAACAATCAGGTCAGGATACTTAAAATAGTATTCCAAATAGATGTGGAAACTAAAATATCGATAATCACTTTTAATGTATTAATTTTTTTTGCATGCTTAGAATTTCTTGCTAGCTAGCTAACAGTGAACATGATCAAATAATCTCTTTACCTTAACTGTTTGTAGTATTAATATCATGTCCCAAATCCATTTGATTTTGAAACATTAAATATAATGTTTTATTGAGCATTTTCATAATACTTGATATCAATTCTATACCCAGTCACTGACCAAGCTAATCAATTTTCTATTTTTTCTTAATATTCATAATGAATTGACACATAGGAATATGATTTTTTGTATTTAAAAATCAAAATTTGATGTTTACTTCTTAGGTAGACTGTATAGGTGTAGAAATGTGTAGTAAAAAAAAAATCTATCCTCTTAGTATTCAAGAATATTAAGTTAAATACAAATACCTCTTAAGATCCTGAATCCTAGTAAAGCCATTCATTTGTTTTGATTGTTTATGTTACTTTTTAAATTATTAATATTAAATATCATTACATAGATATTTCTAACAAGAAAATCAGAAGGAATTTTTTTCATCTATTTTAAGGAAGGAAAGACTACATAGCTAATACATCCAGCTAACCTAAGTGAAAATTCCATTTCACATTAAACTAGTTCTTTGTTTTGTTCCCATTTTTTTTATGTTTCATACTACAAGTTTTAATGACTTTATGCAGATTTCCCATTATGTTCACATTATATATTTCACAATGCATTTATCTTTCTACAAATTCTAATCTAGAATATGGTTCAACTTTCCCCATGGCTGGAGAGTTGTAGATTTGTACTGATCTATTGTGGGTAATAACGATCTTGTCTGCACTTTTACGTATTAATTGGCCTTTGTAATTTCAGGCATGAAAATAAAACACTTTAATATTTTTCCTACCTTTTTGAATCATGTGAATAAATTTTGCATGAGTGAAAATCCAATGCACAAAAATTATTTTCCTGATGAGGGACTGGGACTTATAAACTCTTGTTCAGTCCTTGGAAATGGTTCTTCACTGTTTATTCATGTAATCCTATGCCGCACACACCTCCAGATCAGGCTCGCTGTTGTCAGTGAACATTCCAGCTACAGTTCAGCATGGTAGGCAAGCTCATTAAAGTAGGGACCAGAGACAATTCAGCTTCCTGTTACTATGTAGAACACATGGCTTCCTATGCACTTTTTTTTTCCTGATAGAGTTTCTGTGTGAAGGTTCCTTTTGTGTAGCTTAATTCCCTTAGTAGAAATTGCTGTCTTTAAAATTCTTATTGGCTCTTCTGTGCAATGTGGTCAGAGATAGTAACTTCAGATCCTCATGAAGAAAGCCATTCATGATGCTAAGGCCTGTATAGTAATAGGTTTTTCCATCAGTTACCCCCCACCTTTATTCCTGTCCAGGATTATCCAAGTATAAACTTTGTACAGTAGCTATATCCTGAGGTATGATTACCTGCTGTGAAATAGCTATTTCCAGCTTTTGCTTCTTGCTGCTTTCTCAGAATAGCTGGCGCAGTCACGTTATATAAGAACAGGTATTCTTTTTTAAGAGGTAAAACTTAATTCAGATATTCTTCATGAGAAAAAATAGGAAGCATACTAGATTTCCTTTACTTTTCTCTTCCTTAAAATATATTGGGTCTGAGCATCTCCTGTAAAAGCAAAAGGTTTTAATGAACTATTAATAATGAACTTTAACATGATAGAGAAATCTCCTAGACATTTAACTTCAGTTTTTCTTTAAGCAACATATCTTTCATCATAGTAACTGGTGAAAAGGAGTAAGATGACCTCTTTGTTTTTTACTTCCCAATTTTACTATATAAATAAAGTAGGAGCTAAAGCTGAGATTGTCACCAAACAGATAATTTCTACTGTTAAATGTTAATGCCACTTTAAACTAAACACAGAAGCAAATCTTTATTCAAGGACCAGCCAGTGCCTTCCATGGCTTTTGAATTCAAGTCAGGCTAATCTTTAAAAGTTCATGTTTAAATCTTAGATATAAAATGAAAAAAATGTTTGAAAAGAAGAAAACAAATATATGTCAAAGAGGTGAGCAAATACATCACAAGGGTTTTTGATAGAAATGCCATGATAACTTTTAAGAGATTTCTGATCATCGTTTTACAAAGTCATACAATGTACAATGTAAAGACTTGAAAAGAATTTGCGTTAGAATCTTTTCTTTTGATTTGCTCGGTGCCCTGTTTAATTCTTCCTGTAGGCCTCAATTTTCTCAATTGTAGAATGTGAACGTCATCACCTTTCTCTTTAGAGGTATTTCTGAGGACTAGTTGATGATCCTGAAACTCTGGTTACTCAGGTGTTCTTGGCCGAAAGATAGCATAGATATTCAACTAATTATTAGTTTTTTAGGAGAATATAAATTTAATTTTCTTTTAGCAAACTGAAAATCTGTATTTGTAATAGAAAGGATGCTATGTCAAGCTATCTTCTTAGAATGACCATTCGGAAAGTTTATCAAAACCTGACAAGGCATTTCTCTCTAGGTTCAAACATGAACAAGCCAATTTCCAGTAAGTATATTTTTCATTTCTGAAAGAAGACCTAAGGCTTCACCAAAAAGACTAGTGATTTTAATGATGACTGTTTTGCCCATTATCTAATATGCATGAAGATTTTTTTTTTTTTTTGGTAGAGCTGAGGAAGTGAGTAACTTTAGTATCTATTATGCAAGGTTACCCACTCAGGTGATTTCTGTCTAGTAGGGAGCATTAAGGTTTGACCCTGAAATTAAGGACTACAGTAGAAGCAATTTGCTTCCCCCAGTAATTACCTAGTATCCCACAACGATAGCATCTGTTCCAGAATTCAAATACTACTGAAAGTAAACATGAAAAAGGCCAAGATTTGTGTTTCTGATTCTATCAGAAAATTCAGTGTCTTTTAGTTTGCCACCAAATACCAGTACTATCATAGAATGCATTAGCAGAAGGAAACTTAAAAAAAAAAAAATTACAGCTCCATTTAATTTATTATTTAAGCAACTTGAAACAAAAATAGCAGTTAGCAGATGGATTAAGTAGTCTCTAGTGTGTATTGCAAACTGCCCACAGAGGAAAGTTTAAATGATTTATTGTTTCAAGTGAGGTTTTACTGTGGTGCATTTAGTACTTTGCTCATTATTGTTGAATTTCAATAGCATAGTTTCATGAAAACTGTTGCTTTTGTGGATTGTGGAAATGAAAAACCAAGCTGTTCAAATTATAAGTACAAAGTTTAAAAAGTATCATTATTTTAAAAGGTATCTGCTGAAAATATTTTCTAAGCTTGAAAATTATTCAACATTTAAAATCATATGGTTAATTTAAGGTTAGGAAACAATTACTTCTGTTAAATTGCATTAGAACCTAATTAAAAACTATAATAAAAGTCACTGGTGAGAATCTTCTTAAAATATTGCCAATAGTCAGGCATTTGTCATACTTCAACACACACTGTAAACAGATGAATCTGATGAATGAGGATTTAAAAATTGTTGACTGTCCCCCAAATGAGATCAGCCTAGGGAATGCCTAAAATAATGATTGTAATGATAACTAGTGCTAGAGGTTGTATCTGAACTATAAATATTTTATGAAATCAAGTTTTAAGAATATGTATTGATTTTCACATTTTTAACCAGAGAGGAAAAAAAATCTAAATTGGTGTGAAAAGAAGGCTAATTTGTTTATTTTTCTTGTTTTGTATCTGTAAAACTGCTTTTTTTTTGCTCTGTTTGATATGCAAATTCACATTGCCATTAATACAATGGTGTTAATAATGTGGGATTAACAGAAAGCCTTAAATCTCATTAAATTCTTGGAAAATGTCATTCTCTTTTCCTCAAATTGCATTAAAACAAGAGGCAAAAATATAAATTATAGCAGGTTTCTTTAGAGAGGATACTTTTAGAAATGAAGATTCCTTCAAAAATTCCTGCTCCCTTTATTTAAGCTCAAAGCTTTCTTTTGTATTAAGCTCAAGCTTTTTCATATTAAAGCCAATAATAATCTATCTAAAATACATGATTCTGCCCCCATTTTTACAGCTCCCATTTTTCTGAGCTGGCTCTACATATTCATGCACATAGAGACTTGGTAGTTGATTGTGAATGATAAAAAGAAAAATGAGCCCCACTGGTATGGACACTGTGGCCAGTTTCCACAACATAGACTTCAGAAGCCTTTATGTCTGCATAGGCTTGAAAAAAGGCCATTACTTCTGAACAAAAACGAATTGATCTTTCAGAAAAAAAAAATTGTTAATAGGGTAACTTGGGGAAAAACATAAATGGACCCTGGTTACTTAAAGAAATGTTTTAAAATTATTTTTAATGGAATCATTACTAACTAGATAGCATTTAAAACTGTGGCAAAAAGGACAACATAATCACCTCACTGACAAATCAAATTTTTAATAGGGATCTTTCTCATCAGTTTCTTTTTATAAAGAAAAATTGTGGAGTTAAAAAAATATGCATTTATAATGTAATCAAGTCTGTGAAAAGTCTCCAATTTAGTTTCATGATACACCTAAGAAAGTATTAGACAATGATGCTATCGTTTTATGATATTTTTTAAAAAGCTAATATAATTAATACGTTTTATCAAATAGAAAACTGGCATTTACATACAATCAAGGATTTGAGGCAATCTGCATGTTTATATGATTTCTTCTCTGTTACTACATTATTTTAGAGGTGGGGATGTTTGAAATGAGAAGGTATTCTCATGTTCTGATCACTTAGTTTAAGATTATATATTGATAATATGCGCTAACTTCCTAAACCCTTTATTTTCTGCCTTTTATTTGAATTGATTTTGATTTGAAATCATTGCTCATTTTTTTAAAAAAAACTTAATTCAAGTACAGAGTTTTGAGATTTTAGTAAAGTCTTCTTAATGATTTGCTTCACAAATGATATCTTAATGATGGGAACTTTTTAAAAATATTTAATCTAAAAGTAGAACTTTTAATTTTAATCTAAGTTAATTGCATTATTATCTTGAATAAAATCTTGAGATTGAAGAAGACACATGCGTAATCAGATTTATCCAAGTCTATGAATATTTCTAGATAAATTGGAGTTTATATAATCATAATCTAGAGTTTTAGAAGGTAATTTGTTTATGAAGGCTAAATTGCTGCTAGAAAGCACAACAAAATGATCAACCTGTGAATGCTACGTCTTTGTAATGACAAATGGTATTTAGAATAAGCTACATATATGGTTAAACTGAAAAAACTGGAGTATATCAGGTTAGTTGATAGTGACAGCAAAATGCTTTCTAAGCAGCCTGTCTGGTGGTTAAATTTTCCACGATCATCAGATTTCAGGAAAGTTCCAATTCTTTTGTTTAATGCCAGGCAAGCAGAAGGACCTCTAACTCCCCTCTTGAGAGTCATGAAGTCTGAAGGGTTTGCTGAGCAGCAGAGAAGCAAGTGTGCCTTTTCATACTTGGTTTTATCTAGACTATTTTCTAGCCTGAAAAAGGTTGTGTTTTACTTATGCAAAATAGAGGATAAAAGTTCTAAAGCAAAGGATTTTTCCTTCCTCCTTTTATATTACTGGTTCTTTTTCTCCCAATAGATTTGTGATAAATGAATCCAAATCTGCTTCATTTATATTGGCTTTTAAAGTTAAATTGAGCATCCTTAAAACAAAAAGGCAAACTAGGATGTTATCTTTCATCACAGTGAATGCTTCTTCCTTTTGTGATATTTAAAGCCAGACTAAATCAATTAGAGAACCAAGGTTTGTATAAATAAGACATTAATTTAAAGGGTGGTAAAGGTGAGCAGTCCAGGGCTTGGGCAGGGAACATGCTTTAAGTTTGCATTGACCTTTGAACCATTGCAAGTTAAAACTATAGTATTTAAAATTGCATTTTCCCATTGCAAACTTTAAAGTTCCTTTTTCAGTGTTGTGTGTACAATTTGGTTGATGTGCTTTACATTTCTAATATTCAAGTTTCTATACATGAATTCAACTCTTTGGGTCTACTGTGTGCCTAGCACTGTGCTGGTTGATGAGAACATCCCAAGTCATAAAACACTTTGTGTTTTTTGTTTTGTTTTGTTTTTCATTTCAGAGTAGGGTATTATTGATGTAAAGCAAATGAAGAGGGAGAAAATCAACAACACATAAACTGATCAATCCACAGTCCAGTGGCACACTTTAAAAATGGTATTTAACCAAATGTGGTCTGTGGGTTTTCTTTTCAAAGTTGCCACGGTAACTTGTGCACATGAAAAGTGAAAGAATAAAGAACAAAAGCTGTCATTGTCTTATCAAGTGAGAACAATTTCTCTGTCCTCTCATTTAAGGAGACTAATACCTGGAGAGAGCTTTTTATACATTCCTGACACTGAATTTTGAGTCTAGGAAAAAGATAATGCATATGCAAAACAAATGTAAGTTTAGCTGCTGCTTAAATTATATTTCATTCCTTTGTGACTTAAAATGTTTTCTCTGGGGTTCTTGTCAAGTCAAAGTTCTGAAACCCGCTCCTTAATGCAACGTAAACACGGCTTTCAAAACTCTTTTTTAGTGGTAATGTTTCAACAAATTTAGTGATGCTGATTTGCAGTTTCAGAGTGCAAAATGCTCTCTGAAACATATATTCTTATTTTGGTTCTTAAAAGGAAGAAGGCTTTTCCAGAAGACATTGTTGGAAACTGGTTTTTAAATGGTGGAATATTAGAAGACGAGAAACAGCCCTTTTTTATGCTCTGAAGAAAAAAAAATGCAGTTTTGAGAATTAATATTGCTGAGAGATTTACTGTAGAGTTTTTGCCCACTGGGGGGTGGTACACTCTACCAGAACACTGCTTTCAGAAGCTGCAACGCAAGTCAGATGTTGGCTGCTGCCGGCCAGTTTTTCTCTGGTTTAATTACAACAAAGCCTCCCGTTGAGAAGAACAGTGAAGGCCTCTAGGGCAAAAGGTGGGGGGTGGGAGGGGAAGGGGATGCAGGGAAGAGGGAAGAAATTACAGCCTTTGAAAAATTACTGAATCTTAGTTCCCTCATTGACTTCATTTATGGTGGTCTTCATTTGACTTTCAAGAATTATTTATAATGCTATTAAACAAACTGATTGAATGAAAATACTTAAGGCGGTTTAATTCAAAATTTTTAAGTTAACTTTGAATCCTGCTATTCATCACATTCTTTGTTATGCAGCCCACCCACCTTAATAAAAGAAGGGAAAGTTAAGATCGACCAAAATTTTTCTTTAAATGACCAGATTTAATTTCGTATTGGTATAACATTGGCACACCAAAAATAAGAAGCAGAAGGAAGAAACATTCATATAATATTACCATAAGGCAAATTCTCTGCTACTGATTTTTGTAGGGTTTTAAATTGTTCAAAATAATTCAGAAAGGAGGAAGCCTTAGGGTGTGTGGCCAAGAAAAGCGCAGACAGATCTCTCTGTGGTGAACTTGCATGTTTAAAGCTGATAATTGTATTTTTCATCTGGAGACAGTGAGTGTTCATTAGGGTCTGGTGTCCCTAGGAAAGAGAGGCTGAACATAATTGGAGTTTCTATTTGATTGGGCAATATAGTCTAGAGAAGAAACTGGGGTAAAGATAATTAATAGCTTGCTAACAAAGTCTGACAGCCACAAGATTTCAACCAAATTTATTTCACACTGCTTCATTTAGCCCTGAAAAAGTTTTGATAGAATTGGAGTCTCCTTAATTAACACTTGAAAGCAAAAGAAACATACCTTCTATTTTGCTGCCACACTCAGTTATGACAAATTTCCTTACTGTTTTTCCTCCTTTGTAAAAACTTTATTTGGTGCCCAATTATGTATTTCACAAATGTTAATGTTTAGGAAGTGTTTAGTTGGGCATATTGAACGTAATCATAATTGATTTAAAAGGTGGGGGGCAGAGGAATGAAAAGTCCAGTTAATAACTGATGGTTAGTATTATACTTGAACAATATTAATGTATTCACTATGTTTATTCATTCTGTAATATCTTGCTGATTCTTGGATTTGATGTGTTTTGGCAATACTCCATTAAAAAAAAGATTAGATGTGATTTTCCTACTTAACTACATACAATCAGGGTTTTGAAACCTTGTTTATTTCAGGCTAATATACATATATGTGTGTGTGTTTGTGTAATTGTGTATATATTGTGTATACCCACATATTTGCAAACTAAGTAGTGTATCTCTGATTTAATCTTCTTAGAGATTAAAATGTGGTATATTATTCTTAATATTGGTAGTAATGATAATATTAATATTTTGTGGTACTTTTAAGGGATTAATTTCTTTACTCATTTCAAAAGAGATAAGTATCAATCATCTGTCACTTTGGGGCAGGAAAAAATGGTTCTATCTCAAAAGAGACAAATTCTTTATGTTTTAAGCTAATCAGGATATTCTCATGCAGATCGGGATAAATGAAAGGCATTGCTACAGCTGAAGCTCTTTTCTAGTGGTTGTATTCATGTTGTTTTCTGCTTATAAAATAACATGCATTTTTGAGCAGATAAATTTAAGAAAATTTAAAATAGCTATTTGTTAAAGCCATTTGAGAATTTGGTTATATAAGTGGAAAATATCAAGGCTTTTAAATTTTAAATAGATAGATAGATGTTGAAAAATATAGGCCTGTTGTACTTTTTACCTCTATGCAACCACTTTGTTTCAGACCTAATTCATTGAAAAAAAAATTTTTTTGAGAAGATACATTTAACTACTTTTTGGAAGCTTTTTGGTATAAAATCATTTCTTCCAATATAAAATATTCTTATTGTAAGTTGCAAGTGAATGAATACTCTGTGCATCCCACTTGATGAAGGCTCTACTCATTTTTTCCCCTGCCACCCCAAACTCACTGCATACATCAGGCATAGCTTCCACGCTGAGCTTTGTTAGTTTTTCTGAGTAGGCTTTGCCAATTACTATGCAAGTCACATACTGCATTTGCCCAAGCAGTGGATTTTGGCATTCTCCTGGATGGGAAGTATGGTTTGGAAGTAAAGTCTCCCCCTCCTCTGAGCTGAATTCACTAGTTTAGATTTGCAAGCCTGAAATGCTTGAAGCAGCTCTGGCAGGATAGCAGTGCAAGCTTTAAAATCTAGGTGTAGCTGTTAATCCTTACAGAGGCACAGTAGTCTCCAGGAGTAGCTCGGCTAGCTGTGAGCAAGATGTATGCTTTTCATGTACTGCGTACTCATGGGCTGAGGGATTATTGATTTTCTTTCACAGTTGTAAAAACAGCAATTGGTGATCATACCACACATACAGTACACCCCAAGTTAGCAAGACCTTTTGCTTCCCTCTCTCTGAAAAAAATCTGCCTTGTATTCTTCATGATTAACACTTAACTTTCCAACTTAAGGTTTTCCGAGGCTCTTTTCAAATAGCAACTATTACAAGGCAGAAAATAGCCATTAATTATTACTTTTTAATGAAAGAAGGTTTAAAGAAACTTCTTAGATGTGGCTATATCATCAAATTTTTCCTTGCTGGCTCGTACACACACATATTGCTCTTACTGGTGACAGAACAAGCGTTCCTATTTGGATGCCTCATAGTACCAAGTCATTTCTGTCTACAGAGTAAAACCAAGCAAACTTTCTGGGACAATCTTAAGGAAAAACATGGGAAACACTTACCAGGAAGACGAGAAAAAGCAATCCCATATATACTGCCGCTATAGCTGTAATTCCACTGTGAACTGGAGTGATAACCCTCCCCCTCTCCCAAGCTCCGCGTCCAGTGCACACAAAGCCAACAGCAGCTGCAGGCAGAACTTGTCCTGCTTCGGATCACTCCTACACTGAGGAGTGAGGGAGAGCATTCCAGTTTACTGCACACAGCCCACCTCCAAGTCTGAAGTTAAAGCTTCACCTCGCAGTGGTTGAAGAAGGGGGTGATGTCATAGATGGGCAGGACTTAGGCGAGCTCTTGTTCAGTGAGGTAACTGGATAATCAGACAGATGAGCTTTGCAAACACTAGAGGGAGTGAGAGGAGCCAAAATGAGGCGCTTAGCTTGCCAAAGCTGGGATGCCATTTGGTTTGTAGGCAGCCTTTTGGAATTTCAGCGTTTTCTAAAGTTTAATACAACAAGGTAGTGATAGCAAGTTTTTTTAAAAATATATGAGCATGTAAATGGATATTTATGAGTACAGTAGAAGAACACAGGTTCTTTTTATTTTTGAGTTAATATGTATTAAGAAGTTAACCAAAAATCCTATTATTTTCATTTTCAAATCGTTCCAATAGCATTGCAATTTTTAAGGCTAGTAAGTCCAACATGAATACTTATTTGACAAATAAGTAGAAGGCAGGTTCACATGAATGACATTTATTTAAGGAAAGGGAAACAGGAATGACAAAAGATAGAGATCCTTGAAGTAACCAGTTCTTTTTCCTAGAGGTAATGAGTAACTTGTTCTATGTTTTAGAAAATGAAAGTATTTTTCACATACTTCTACTATTTGTCCATCTCTTTTGAACTTAGTAGATATTAGATTTTTTTCCTATTTAAGGAGCCCTCCCTAAATATGAATAGTTGTAGAAGAATTAAATATTCTTTTCTTTTCCGATATGTTTTTGCTACTCTAAGTATGAATTAAAATATAAACATATTAAGGGCAGCCCAGGTGGCTCAGCGGTTTAGTGCCGCCTTCAGCCCAGGGCCTGGTCCTGGAGACCTGGGATCAAGTCCCACATTGGGCTTCCTGCATGGAGCCTGCTTCTCCCTCTGCCTGTGTCTCTGCTTCTCTCTCTCTCTCTCTCTCTCTCTTTCCCTGTGTCTCTCATGAATTAATAAAAGAATTAAATCTTTAAACATATTAAGAAAAAAAGCTTTCATGGGAGGTTTTGCTTTTATTAAAATAATTTTATTTTAATTTTGATACATGAATAAACACTGGACAATTATAAGACAGGCATAAATATCTATGTCTAATTAGTAGAATGGTAGACTTTAATATTCAACTATGATTTTCATAGACTGATCTGTATTTGATCAGCAATTGCTTTGGGCTCATAGATTTCTATTAAATTCATTTCATTTTTTAATGTTGCTGGGGGGAATTTCGTTTTTATATTTACCTGGAGGGCAATTTCCTTAAACTAATATTATTTGCTTTAGTTTTAGAGGTTCACAGCATTGTCCTTTATGCTTTTAAAAAAGTTTCTATAAATGTTTGTTTCTGAAGAAGGCCAGCTAATTGTCCTTCCCAGGAGTATTTGATTATGGTCTCTTCATTAGCTTCATTTAGTTTATCTATTTATGTGCTTCTTTGATAGCAGTTTGACCTTCTGAGTTCCCTCCAAGAATGGGTGATATCAAGGTAGAGGGTGAACCCCTGATAAGAGGTTATATTGACCCCTATTGTTCTGTGATTGCACTTTTGTTGGCCACGGAGGGCAGACCCATTAAATCCAGGAGTTTTAGAATTCTAATGTCTGTTGATAAGCCAGTTTCTCATAAATGATAGATAGCACAACCTAAACTGAGATTCAACTGCTGACTTTTTGGAGGAGAGGGAGGTGGGAATAACAATCTCTCAGTAAATGGTGAATTTTTTCTGTTACTGCAAACCAAATACATGAATTAAATTATTTTATGAAATAATTCCTTCTAGAGGCTATTTTCAGATGGGAATTGGTTATGTTTAACAAGGACTTTTTGCCTGGCCAAATTACTGTGGGCTTATATCCATATTTAATCAGTTGTGTTTCCATCCAGGCAGAGCTTAAACTGAAAAGAAAGATGAATGGACAATTTTTGGTTATAGGTAGCTAACAGATCATGTACTGGCCTGGGAGTTAGGAGTTCTGAGGTTTCCATTCCCTCGGCTGCCATTTGTTATATGACTTCATATTATGTGCTCTGGCCTTCGGTTTCAGCACATGGCAAGTAAAGGCAGCAAATGCCAATTATGTACTTTTTTTTTTTAAGATACGGATTAAAATGTAAAAGACGGTAGGAGATTGTGAAAAGTATGATATGTACTAGAGACACTGACTTTGGAGGCAAACTCTTAAGGTAGCCTCTATCATCCTACCGTGTCCAAAAATATACTCTTCCTGCTTCCCTGTGTGTGTTTGTTTTTTTGCTTTTGTTTTTTAATTTCCTGCTTTTATCAGCTGCCTAAAGTTCTGCCAGTTGGAGGTGAACTTATGTACCACCTCTGGAAAGATTAAGAGTTACCCTGAGTTACTGCAGACTGCTTTCCTTCTTTGTTACCTAAAGGAGATTAGCTGTAATAAAGGAATGGCTGTCCTGGTTTGAGGGAAAGGCAGGCAGGCAGTTTTCAGCCTGATGCCCTTTGATAGGAAAGGAGGGGCTGATTCTAACCAGTAACCAGTAGCATACCCTAGTTTTAAAATTCTAAACTGGTCATATCAAAGAACTTTGTGTTTTTCTGTTTTTGTAAGAGGATATGAGATGTTCCCTAGTGGAAAACAGGGGAGATTGGATTTGGAATCAGGTTTCCCAGGCTTTGCCATTTACTTGTGTATCCAAGTGAAAACAACAACAACAAATCCAATCTTTTTTAGTATAAACAACCCCCAGCTAGATATGACTGCAATACATAATTATTCCATGGAACCGTTTAATTCAGGAATTTTAACCTGCCTAGACTTAAGGTACCTCATTCACTTACTCATTCATTCATTCATTATGTGAAAATGCATTGAACATCCCTATAAAAGAAGCTAGTAGGAGTATGTGATCCACCAAATCACCTCCAACTACACTATTTGTGATTTAATTTAGAATGTATTAAAGTTCTTTTAAGCCTTAGAAAGAAACATTCTTCATTATTTTTCTTCTACTCAGCATTATTAATGGGAATTAAGTCTTCAAATTTGGATAAAAAACAAACCAGCAAAAAAAAAAAAAACAGCTCAGGCTTTTGATGTATTAAATGCCTTGGGCTGGGGCACCTTGGTGGTTCAGTAGGTTAAGCATCTGCCTTTGGCAGCAGGGCTTCCTGCTCAGTGGGGGGCCCGCTTCTCCCTCTGCCTCTGCCTGCTGCTCCCCTTGGTTGTGCTCTCTCTCTCTCTGTCAAATGAATAAATAAAAATATTTAAAGAAAATAAACACCTTCAGCTCTCATAGTTGAGAATCTTTGGGTTGCAAGTGATTGAAAGTCCAAACCTTCCTGTTAACTAACAATTGGAATCTATTGGTTCATATAACTGAAATGTTCAAAGGTATGGTCTGGCTTCAGGTAAAGCTTGATACAGTGGCTTAAAATGTGTAGACAAAATTACAGTTTCTCTCTGGCTCATAGCGTTCTGCCTTTTTCAGTGTTGGCAGCCTCCTTAGGCTATTTGCAGTGGACCTTTGGCAGCTCTGGGCTTTTCCCTTAGGCAATAACAGTTCCACATATCACATTACCATATTACAGTGTTCTAGGGAAGAGAGGTCACCTCCAGAAGGTCCTGCACATAACCCTCTGATTTAACTTCTCTCATTCCTGAACCTATTACCAGAAGGTGGGGGATATGTTGGTAAGCTTAAGGCCTCTATAATAGCTGTAAGTAGGGTCCACTCTCCTCATACACATGGCTGAGAATGGAGACCAGGGTATGGCTCAGAGGAAGATTGGACACTATCAGTTTGAGAAGGAAGGGGCAGATGCTGGAGATTATTTCATGTTCAGAAGACTTGGCATGCTGAAACTTGGGCATGTTTTATAAATTTATAAACTTGAAGCTTTCTTTCTTTCTTTCTTTCTTTCTCTTTCTTTCTTTCTTTCTTTTTTAGCCAGAGTTTCTGTTTAAATTGCCAAAACATCTTTAAAAGATTTTCTATTTGTAGACCCTCTCAAGTCTAGCCCAGTTTTTTTCTGTCAACAGGTAGTGATGCATGTCAGGGCATATCAGTACTACATCTTAACATGAGCCTATGGGATATTAATAAAATAGAGAGTGCACATTCAACTATCTGTAATTCTGTGAAGTCAGGCCAGATGCTTAATGCACCAGTTAGAAACTGTACCACATCTTTCTGAACAATTCCAAAGGGTATTGGAGAAATAATTAGATTTTAGCAGGTCACAGATGTCTTAGAATATTAAAAATTTAAAAATGCTATATTAAACTGTTCTTCTGATATTTGCCTTTTATTAGTCAACACTTAAAATGTACCTTTTATTAGTCAACACTTAAAATGTACCTAAAAACAATCACATATCCCTTTTAAGTGTATTTCCAAAACATACTGTGCTGGAGTGGGATCTGTCATTACAGGACTTGAAACAGAAATCAAAGCAAAGTCAGAGTGGTTATTTCCCTGCCTGACTGCTTGTCTGCCTACCCTCTGGAACACCCTTCTTTCCCCCTACCTTGAGTTGGGGAAATACTTCAGGGGCTGGGAGAAAGGGGATTTAAAACAGCAACAACAGCAACCACCTGAGAAAAAAAAAGCACGTCTTTGGCCTCTGGGGAAAGAAGAGGAGAACTGGGGTTCAGAACAGGTTAGCACTTAGCCAAAAGTGATGGAGTGAAGCAGCTGGCAAAACTGAAAATCAGTGGATTCCTACTTTCTTCCATATTCAGTGCTTTCCCATATGACGATGTAAATGGTGCACTGCACAGCACCCAATTATATAGGCATCCCCTTGACCCCTTCGTGCTCCCAATGTCCTGTCATCTTTCTCTCTTTGTTTTAAAATGCAAAAAAGAAAAAAAATAAAATGCAAAAAAGAGATTTTATAAGTGGACCCTGGAGAAAGGTGAGACTTGAGTTAAGCAGAGTGAGTGAATTCTCCCTCTGGTGCTTTATGTGTGGCCCTGGGAAAAGTAGTTCAGTTCTTTGAGCCCTACTTCTCTCATTTATGAGGGTGAAGATAGGGGACCCCCA